AAATCATCTTGTTAATAATTTGAATTTTATGCAGTATCCCTCAGATCATGTACTCAACAGATGAAAAGCATGTTTAATAGCTCAAATGCACATAACTTATTACTGTCTACTGTCCAAAACCACTTTGAATTTAAATATCCTGTCTGATGTAAGGAAGCTATAGCTAAGCATAGTTCATAATAGAGTGATCCCAAGCTGGATATACATTTTTTTCTACATTAGAAAGGATCTGGGAAAATGTGACATCAGTGTGAGAGTGGGCCTATGTTGAACCAGGTGTACATGCTTACTTGACATTACCATTGGTCCAGGTTCACCAGGCTCACCAGGAGGACCAGCTGGTCCTGTGCCTCCCTGAAATTGAAGATATGTGATATATGAAAACCAAAGGAAAAGCAAGTGCCAAGTCTTACACTCTCTACGTTCTCTGTGGTATATAGTATGGGAGTCCAGACTTTCCTGCTCTAGACTCTAAGGCAAGGTACTGTTTGTAATCCTGTAAAAGGACAATCACGAAAACACATAGTTCATTAGAGTGCTGAGGTAACTGATATATATTTAAAACAGTATAGTGCTAGCAGAATGAATGCAGCAACAGTCATTATCACCATCACCATATCACATATTTCATCATCTTCAGTAAACTTGTTTCTATTCACATGTCTTAAGAAAAGCACTCCAAATATGATGACAACAATGTGGTAACCTCTCTTTGGAAGAATGACTTTGTAATGCCTGTTAAATGACTGTAAGCAGTAAAACAGTTTTATGTCACAAGTTTACTGCTAGTTGATAGGCATAGAAAGAAAGTTTGCAACATTACATTTTTTTCAAACATAACATGGACTGTTACATATTATTACAAATAAAACCCAAGATGGTCATTCCCCCTGGAGGTGGCCTTTTATGATTCAATTGCATAAATTCATTATTCAATTATGAGACTTTTATCATAACAGGAAATTATGACCTCTTCATTCAGAAGCAACAGGCATAATTCCAAGTATTGTTGGTAACTCATATAAAGAAATCAAATGTTAACAATGTAGCACCATGGAGAACCTGTGATATGAATACTGTATATATGAGTGAGTGAGAATGATTTAATACGGCCCAATCAAATTGGACATTTACAATTATATATTTCTTAAGGCTAGCCAAAAGCAATCATGTTACATAGACCTTATTTGTGCTTTTACTTTTCTTGACTACAATATATAATCTAGTTATTTAAACAAAATGAACTTACTTGTTGCCCTTGTAAACCCTGAGGTCCTCTTGGGCCAACAGGACCCTTAAAAACAAATGAGAAGAAAAGTTGCATAGTATTCAAGATGACTAATATGTTGAAAATATTGAATCAGCTTTAGAATCTGGAAGAGTGAGGCTTTGAAAGGCAAAGCTGGTGACATTCTCTCTCTGAACTCATCTATAAGGCGAAGAGACTAAGGCTCGGCTAACATCTGGAGTGACTGATACATACCCTCGTGTCATAAATAGAAATAAAGAAAATGCCTGCACACACCCTGGGTCTTTAAGACAAGAACACTCTCATGTGTATAGATAAGGCGGTTCCATTAAACAAGAACATCTGAAGAGAAGAAAATTTGGCCTGTGTAAAGGAATTATCAAGCAGCCTGGGTAATATTGCAGCTTTACAGCAGCTTCTTGTTAAGAAACCCATTAAATGGAACATTTATGAAACCAACAATAGGGACTAAATTATTTTCAGTACCCATTTAAAATGGGCAATGAGGTTCCTAGATTATTTCTTTCTTGTACATACAGTGTCTGTTGAGAGTATCAGCAGAGGCTTCCCTCATTTGAAAAATAAACAGAGCACTACCAAAAGAAAGTAAAGGAAGCAAAAGACTTAAGAATATTCAGTACTATGTATGACAATGTATGTCTACAACTTTTTAATTGTCAGGCTTATAAAGTAAACCTGACTTAATTAAAATCAAGTGTGTTTCATAGGAAAAACAATTTTATTTTGCATTGATCAGGTATTTTGTCTAGGAAGAAGTTTAAAAGCCCTTTTAAAATAAGCACATATGTAAATTAAACTTCAAATAGATAAAAAAAAATCAGCTATTTCAGAAAAACATGGCAGGATAAGCTCAAATCCCTAGGAATTTTTAAAAAATATACAAATAAACAATGTTTAAGGCATTCATAATCCTAGCCTTAATCATGGGGGAGGGGGCGCATTATTCATGAGGTCTGACTTTATTTCTTAAGGCCTGAATTTCATTAATCTGGAATGATTTGGAATTATGACAGAAAGAATATGAAAGATTCAGTTTTTTTTTGTTTTTTTTGTTTTTTTGTCGGTCGTGGGGCTTGAACTCTGGGCCTGGGCGCTGTCCCTCAGCTCTTCAGCTCAAGGCGAGCGCTCTACCACTTGAGCTACAGCGCCACTTCCGGTTTTCTGGTGGTTTATTGGAGATAGGAGTCTCATGGTCTCTCCTGCCCGGGCTGGCTTTGAACCACGATCCTCAGATCTCAGCCTCCTGAGTAGCTAGGATTACAGGCGTGAGCCACCAGCGCCCGGCTTGAAAGATTCAGTTTTAAAAGTGTTAATTCATTCACTGAGATTATATCCAGGTATTTGCCTCCTCCCCCCAAATGGAATTGTCTGGCAATTGATGAACTAAAAAAGTGTTCAAGAATGATGAAGTGCTCTTCTTCCAGAGAACCTCAGAGCTGTTGAAGTACTTAAGACATCCAGGGAATATTGAAACATATCCAAAATGATGAAATCATAGTATTAAAATACCACTTATTTCAAAATTTTGTCAAAATAATATATCTATAACATCATAAAATGGGATCTTTAACTATTAAGGAACAGTTTTTTGTTGTGATAGTGATAAGTATATGTTTTAAAATCAAGACTTCAAGAATTAACTAAAATAGATATAAAGATCTTCAGTAATGTCCATGTGTGCTTTGCTTGGCTATGACCCAAACTACACTGGGCTTTTAGCTAATAGGAACAACTGATAAACTGGCTGGCTGGATACATGCATGCATCGTGCATATCCATTATTTCTTAAAAGTAACTCAAGCTTCTTTTTCATGTTTCATCTTCCTTTAGTTTTGAGCAGTGTTGTTTACAGTATGCTTACCACAGAGCCAGGCATGAGTCCGACTTGACTCCCAAGTCCAGATTTTTCATCCAACCCAGCCATCTGAGCTGAAAATGGCTGTAAAAAGCAATGTGTTGACATTATTTCCACAGTAAAAGATGTAAGTCAACATTCTTTTTAAATTGAAAAATGCGTACTTTATGTAATCCTTACAGAATGACTCTCCTAAGAACAATTTTAAATATTTCACTGTAAAGCATGATGGAAGATTCAAGCTATTTGGTCAAGCTGTATGCTTTTTTTTGAGATTTTTTAAATCTTTTTATAAAAGTGATATACAGACGGGCTACAGTTACATAGGTAATTCATTCATTTCCTTTTGAACAATTTCATTCCCTCCCTCATCCTGTCCCAGTTTTTTCCTTCCCAGTTCCCATTCCCTCTCCTCCCTGCAATTTCCAACTTAGTATCTAGTAGGTTTTATTGTATGCTTTTGATAGACCATTCTTCCTTAGAGCATTTTCTGAAGTATACAGATTCAGAACAGCTGAAGTGGGACAAACATCTGACACCTAATAAAAGCACAGTTCATGCTGATGAGTTCTCAGGCTAATGAATTTCAGGTTTAAGCCTCTTTATCTGATTGTCTTCCATGATTAGAGTACACTAAACACTGAAACAAAGCCCAAAAGATGCCTTTAAACATTTGTCCTAAAGATGCCAGATTTCATATTGGACTATTTTAAAGAGATCCTGTGCCTCTTTCTTTGTTCATGGCTAGCAAACATTGAATTGCATTTATGTAAATTGTAAACATTTTATAACCTTTTTAATGAATCTCTAAATGTTCTAAAAAGATTAAAGCAGCTTTACCTGTATTCACATTAAAAAAAAAAACCCTTGGCAAACAAACTCTCTTAAACTGTTTGCCTACAATCCAGTAGATATATAAATTTCCAGATCTTATTGCTAAAAAAAACTGTGCATTTTTAAAAGACAGTTGGCAATTTCTTCCACAATCAATTGAGAAACTGTGCTAAGTTTTATAAAATAAAAATGATACTCAGATACCATAAGATCCCTTATTATATTATGCAATCTAACACTAACTGCCTTATACTTCTTACACTAAGAATTCAAAGGAGACCACAGAGGTATTTGATTATACTTCAGGTTAGAAACAAAAATTTAAGAAATAATCAGATAGCTTTATTAGTGTTGTTTTGATTTAGTTATAAAACATTCCTCTAAAAGGCTCATGTGCTAAACGCTTGATCCTTAATGCAGAGCTCAAAGGTAGGGCTTTGGGGAAATGATTGGACAGGTCTATTCTTTCAACAGTGAAGTCATATAATAGTGGATTCATTATTTGATATCATTATTGGGAGGCACTGGAAACTTCAGGGGGTTGCTCAGTGGAGAAGGCTGGTTACAGGCAATGTGCTCTTACTGGCCTGTGTTTTGGCCCTATCTTTTGCACTTTCTGCTTCCACGCCACCATAATAGGTAAGGAGCTTTGTTCTAACAAGTTTTTCTGCCTTGATGTTCTCACCACAGGTACACACACAATGGACCCACTGTCCATGGATTGAAACCTCTGAAACTACTCGCTAAAATAAGTCTCTGGAATTTGTCACAATGACAAATCATCTAACACAAATTTCTCACATATGATGTTCTCATAAGCCTCAAGCCTCTAGGTTAGAGGATATGATGTTGGTTTTGTCAACATTTTGAGGCTGGGTTGTGACAGAAGCATAGCATCAGATCTCTCCTTTAGCTCCTCAGTAAGCAAGGCTTGTCCATTAAAACCCATGCAAAGAAAAAATTCACAACAATAAAAAAAACTAAAAAATAATAATTCTCAGAGCCCAGAACTGACATCGAGAAACTCTGAAGCACCACTTGAAAAAATGCCACTTTCAATTTTCCAACACTTCTCTCTAGATCCTTTCATGGTATTCCAGAGCAGGGAAACATTCACTCCACATTTTGTTTTCTGAACTGACTCCATCAAAAATCATAATGAAGGCCTGGAAAAGTGGCTCAGTGGTAGAGTGCTTGCCTTGCATGCATGAGGCCCTAGGTTCCATTCCTCAGCACCACATAAGCAGAAAAAGCTGGAAGTGTCGCTGTGGCTCAAGTGGTAGAGTGCTAGCCTTGAGCTGAAGAGCTGAGAGACAGTGCCCAAGCCCGGAGATCAGGCCCCTTGACCGGCAAAAAAAAAAATCATAATGACAAACTTATAACTGAATACACTACCTCCATGTGATATTTGGCAGTACACACAACTCACCCGACTCATGCCATCTGGTCCTGGGTGGGAGGGATGCCCAGGAGGCCCCGGAGCACCGGGTTGACCTGGAACACCTGGCTCACCATCAATTCCCTGAGGGCCACGGGGACCCTAGAAAAACAAAGCCAGGAAAGTCAAAACCCATGATCAAACATGTATTTGGTAGATGGCTTTAATCATCTCCTTCTTCAAGGCCATTGTGACCATCAGCTACATCAACACTGTTGATTTTACACTGATCAGACTTTCGATTATAGGGTAAAGTCTAGGTAAGAATTTTACTTCATGTGGTAAATCACCAGGCCTTACTTTTCTTAGAATCATTTAAAAACTGCTTTCAGTGTAGCAGCAGTCTGAGCCTCCTTATTTGTTTGCTTTGTTGCACAAAAGTATTTAAAAACAAATTCTAAGTTTACTGTCTGTCTTTGATTATAGTTAACTATGAATCTGCCTGTTTTAACCATGTTACCAACCCACTTCCTCCAAATAGAGATAATCTTGGCTTGGAGCTGTGAGTTGAGTTTATATTTATTTCTAAGTGCTTGATGCTTTGCATAGTTCCTGGTACATACTAGACCTTCAGGACATGTGCATTACATTTTCACACTTCAATCTTTGTACTTTTAGGCTGGCACATTTTATTATCCTTTCCCACCCTGAAAAGTAGACAAGACCAATGAAAAATTAGAAATAAAGGCAAAAAATGATCCAGCCAAGTCTAGTTCTCAGAAAAGTGAGCAATGGTTTCTAGTTGCCAAACTCCACCCTTCCAGCCCACATCCTCAGGCAGTTTAGGGAATAGCCACGTCCTCAATTCTTGTAAAGCTCAGTCCCCTAGCCTCATCATTCCCACAAGTCTTCTCAAGTATTTGCTGACTTGTTAATGCTTTAAAAAATCGTAACAAGCTTCAAAAGGAAAGGAACAAAGTATTATAAAACAATGTTTTTTATCAGTAAGAGTGAGAATTGAGAATAATGATACATTAGTAATTAATAGGAAAAGAACATTAGCTACCTTGAGCAAAAGAGTGTCTACTGGTCAGCCACCAGTTCAAATATGATCTGGTGATGCAGGTAGAGTAATACAGGGCATACTGATGCTGTAGAGAATGCAGTTCGCATATGATGGTATAATAGTTTGAGAAGAGTAGCATAGTAGTTATACTATAAAGTTGATAATAGTTTGATATATTCAAACATTCATATAAGATTCTTTATTTCTTGAAATAGTAGAATAAATAATTTATTCAAACAGAAGTAGCTCTCATTACCAAATTACTCTCATTATCAAAACCAAACTCTATTTGCTGGGCGCTGGTGGCTTGAAACTTTAATCCTAAGTACTAAAAAGACTGAGATATGTAGGTCAGTTAGAAGCCAGCTTAGGCAGGAAAAGTTATGACTGTTATACCTGTTAACCATCAAAAAGCCAGAAGTGGAGCTGTGGCTCAAGTGGGAGAATGCTAGCCTTTAGCAAAAAGAACAAAAACAAAAATAAAACTCAGTGATATTGCTTAGGCCCTGAGTTCAAGCCCCAGGATTTATGTGCATGTGTGTGTACACACACACACACACACCACAAACATCACCCCCCTTTTGATTCTTAAGCTACTGATAATTTGCTACACTTTTCATCTAGAGGTTTTTATTGCTAACAAGGATTCCTAGATTATATGTTGGTGGGCATTCATGGAAATGCATATCTTCAGTGGTAGCAAAGACAAAGAATCTGGCTTACTCATAGAATCTGGCATGAAAAACATGTTTTATAATATTTAACTGATAAATGATGATAATTATCTAATATCACATACAAAAACATGAGCTAAACATAATCTTAGTTCCCTATGCCATTTTTAATGAACATGGAAATATGTTTACTGTCTATATAGATAGGTAGACAAAATTTTGAGTGATGTAGTCTTAAAGCTACTGTTTTCTAATTCCTCTAATGTGTGATTAGTAAAATAATTATCATATTTCTGTGTGATCTGGAGATAACACACAATTTCTCTGACTTTAGAATCTATGCTGTATTTTCCCAAAATTGTTCTAAAATACCTTGCACAATATTGTAGTCTTACATAAACTGAAGTTAAAAATCAATAAAATTGATTTCATGAAAAATTCCATAATTATGTGAACATAACCAAGACTACTATTGATAAGAACAACTATAATACTGAACATTATAATTTTATAACATTAAATATTAAAAATAAATGATTTTGAAATAGTTTAACATACATTTTCATATATTTTTATATTTACAAATGAACATATTAAGGTAAAAAAATTCTATTTATTATCATTCCCTTCCATCATCCAGATGCTCAGCACAGAGTGTAGCAATCTACAACAATAAATTACTGTTTCTGACCACTAGGTGGCAACATCTACAAGTAGCAAAGAGTCATGACAGAATTGGGAAGAACTTTTTGGTTCTGGGGCTGATTAGCAGTAACACACACATATACACACACACAAAACAAACACATGTACACACATATATCATAAGGATTAAGTAACATATGCAATCCGATCTCCTTGGCTATCTATCTCCTGATAGAGTTTTATTTACTCACTATTGTAACCTGGGCAATCTATTTAAGACTGAAGAAATGTAATGAAAGACATTCATTATGCTCATTGGCTAGTACTGATAGCTTCACAAGACTTTTCTGTGTTAATTTCAATTTTCAATTTCAAATCTGCCTGAATTTGGAAACTCTGAGAGACATTATTAGTTGTCACAATCTGAGAGGTGATGGAAGCATCTAGTAGGTGGAGATATTCAATGTCCCACAATGAAAAAGAAATTATCTGAACAACTGTGTTGCACATTGTGACACTTCTGCACTGTCTAATAGCACTAGGAGTAGGAAGAGGAAAGTAGTATCTATGATTCTAACACTACACTGCATTTTGACAGCAATAGCATTAGTACAGTCCCTGCAGAAGGTTTGAGATCTAAAACTCAGACCTCCTCTATAAGTATTCTGTGATACAATGCTGGAGGCTAGGAAACAGCTAGAATAGGAATATTAACACCAAGGAAATCAGCAAATGCTACATTTAAAATAACAGCTTTTGAAAAGAAATCCAATTGTTAAACACTTGTTGTCACAACACTCTTTGCTCGTATTAACAGAGGAACATATGTTCTAGATAGCATCTGCCAACAGTCATCTTGCTTCATGAATGTCTAATCACCACTCTACACACACACACACACACACACACACACACAAACACACACACACATGTTCATGCATGCCCAATTCATATTCTCTTCCTTGGGTCTAAACAAGATAGAAAGTAAATTACAATCACAAACTATATCAAGATAATAACAAAGTAATTTCCTCTAAATCAGGAGAGCTAATTACTCATGAGGAGAATTCTTTGTGCATTTAATGTAGGCAAGAAGGTGGCTCCTTGATGCGCTCAGGGAACAAAGTTCAGACTGGCTTTCTTGGGACCCAGTGGTAAAAATGAACCTTCCCCATCTACTTACAGGTCTTCCTTTGGGGCCTCTCTCTCCTCTTGGTCCTTGAGATCCTGGAGGGCCCTAAAACAGTGAGTAAGTGATGATTATTTCTTTTTTTTCAGTACATTGTAGTTCTTTTTTGTACATTTTTATTGTAAAAATACTATACAGAGGGGTTACAGTTATATGAACAAGGTAATGAGTACATTTCCAATTGAGCATTGTTGCTTCTTCCTTTATTTTTCCCCTACCATTCCTTCCCTCCAACAATGATGATTATTTCTATAAACATTTACATTTTGAGTGTTTTTATTTAAAAGACTTGTTTTACAAGATGAAATTTAGAAATAGAAATATTGCATATCTAATTCCATGCAGTTGTACACTGTGGGGAACAAAGGTATGCACATACAAAGTTACATGTCCATTGGAGGATGTTTATTGTAACAGAGAAAGCTGAGGGCCTGCAAAAAATTATAGCATCACAGACCACAATTAACTAAGTATATTAGTTTGTCTATAATCACTAATTTTCTAGCTATCTTGTGGGCACAAAAACTTGAGAGTTCAGAGTTGAAAAACCCCATAAATGTACAGACCTCAAATGATGAATTATCTGTATGAGTTCACCTTGGCAGATGATACCACAGAACGCTCATCAAGTTTCATCTCCTGTTGAAGCAGTGGAAAGAAAAGCCTTCCACTCCACAACAGCTGTTCATTTCATCATAATATTTTACTCAACTTAAAATATACTATTCTTTCCACTGTATATTTAAGACTTACTTAATTTTTCAAATCATAGTTTCCATTATTCATTTCTCAAAACAACAGCTGTTTTTCTAAAATGGTGTTACGATGAAAGTATTTTAAAATGGCTTTTTCCCCAGTGGGAAATGATGCTTCTAGGATAGGGTGGGTGGTTATTACTCTTTAAAAAGATTGTGTTGTTGTTGTTACACTGTCCAGGTTGTCCCAAATTCCTGGGCTTGAGAAATTCTCTTGTCTTACCCTCCTGAGTAGCTGGAACTCTATGTGTACATAATATATCTTGCTCAACAATGTTGTTTAAAAGCAAAAGCTTCTCAAGAATTAATGTAAGCAGGTTCAAGCTATATTATTATTTTACTTAAGTTGAATTTGTGTATTTTTTGGGGGGGAGGTCTGGTCATGGGGCCTGAACTCTGGGCCTGGACGTTGTCCCTCAGAGCTCTTCAGCTCAAGGCTAGTGCTCTACCTACCACTTGAACCACAATGCCACTTCTGGCTTTTTTCTTTTTGCTTATGTGGTGCTGAGGAATCGAACCCAGGGCCTCAGGCATACAAGGCAAACACTCTACCACTGAGCCACCTTCCCAGACCCTGAATTTGTGTATTTTAAGTTTAACATGAGGGTAAGACATGGTGATGTATATCTATAATCTAACTACTAGAGAGATGAGATGATGAGAACCAGACAAAAATTTAGTGAAGGTTGATCAACAAACAAGCTGATACGATAGTACACACAATCATGCCTAGCATCTGGCTATGTAGGAGACAGAGGCAGGAGTCTGGCTCCAAGCAAAAATGAGAGAGCTTATCCACAAAATAACTAAAGCAAAAATGACTGGGGCATGAAGAGCTGGCCTACCAATAAGGTGCTAAATTCATGTTTCAGTATCACCAATACATAAATATATTAATGAATAAATTACTGAATAAAATTTGCATAAATATGGATGAATGTGTGTATATGAGTGTATTGTCCATCTATGCAGCTATGCATTCTGCTAATAACTCAAACCAGAAAAAAATGGTATCTAAATCTAAAAGTAACCACTTCCATATCCAATTTCTCAACTTCTACTGCAATATGTAATTTATACAAATCATAGCAATTCACTCTTAATCAGAGTCAGATAACAAATATTATTTGTTAACTTTTATTTTTTACTTTTGCTAATTTATAATTTGTTAATATTACTGTTACATTTGCTAATTTAATAAGGTCAATATAAACTTAGCAATGTGACTACAAGTGGCTTGGTCTTTCACATAACCAATAGCAAAACTAAACAGAGGAGAAAAATTTAATGAAATATTCTCTATGAATAAGAGTTTATTGTTGCAAAAAAATGCCTAAACTAAAAAATGATTCAAGACAAGATGTTCTAAAAACAACAAGATTTTTTTAACATATATATGCAGTTTTCATTTTAGGGATGCCACAGCAATTTGCAGTATCCTAGTGAACACAATAGCATCATGAATAGTGGAGAAAAGCACTTACTGCTGGACCTGGTCGACCACGGATGCCTGTGACCTAAACAACAAGCAAAACATTGTTAAGATAAAGTCTCTACAGAGATTTAGAAGCGTCAGTCGTCAAATAAGAATAAAACCAAAATCACAAAAATATGTTTCATCTAAACAAATGGAAGTTATTTACAACATTTCTTCTGTGAATTGTAGATTATGATATTATCAAATTTAAACACTACTACGGAGAGGCAAAACTAGTAGAATGATTAAGCGCACCAATGCTGGAGCCAAGATGCCATCCAAATCCTGGCAAGAACTGAGGGCTCATTTTTTTCTGTGCTTTTGTTTCTTTGAAGGCAAACTTAAAGGCAAAATGGTGATTCTGATAGTGCAGTAATCTCTCTCATAAATTGAACAGACAAATAAATGTAAAACATTGGCATTTTTGATGTAGTAAATTTGTGTAAGTGACTTTACATGAAGAAAAACAAAATGAGTGATTTAAATGGTAAGTATTCTTTGTGAAAAACAAGCAGATTTAAAGGCAAAACAACAATGTAAACATTGCCAAATAAAATTTATAGTTTGCAGTTATAGATTGATAATTCCTTTAGGATATAGGTGGTTGAAAACTGAACATATACATCTCTATAAACATTTTTAAAATGGTGAGGTAACATTCAATATCTACCAAGACCAAAGGATAACTTAGTTCCCAACCCATGGAACATTAAACTGCTATACTCTTACTAATATTAACTCTCCCTATTTATGAAAATATGATTTTGTACCTTTAGTCATATGAATCATTGAAGTTAGAAATATGGAAAATTATTGCATTAAGTACTTAAATATATTTTATCTTGCTTTTGTTTACTTGTTTACAAAATAACTAATTTTTATCTTTTAAGAGGAAAAATAACATAAAAGTATACTAAAGTTATGTTTTAAAGCATTTTATTTACATATACTTACAACAGGCACTAATCCTGGTTCTCCTTTTTGTCCCTATGGAAAAAAAATTCGGTTAATCACAGTAGCCCATGGAAACACTGGGAAGTTCTATGACATATTAAAAAAAGAGAAAAAGTTAATGATCAATTGTTAGGATATAGAGTCATATATCATTCATAAAAATACACTCATTTGGTATACAAGTCCTAAAGTTAATCAGTCTAACATAAAACATGTAAAATTGTTGTGCCAGTTTTTACAGGGAAAAAAAGATAGAGGAATGGTTGTGATATAGATATGAGACAAAGTTCTGTTGGGGGGAAAATCCAAAGAGATAAAATGCAAGAAAAGTTCAAGACATTTCTTGAACTGAACTGGGCTGACTCCCTATCTTGGCTATGGTAATAGCACTGCAATAAGCATGGTGGTGCTGGTGGCCTTACTGTACCATGGTTTGTATTCCTTTGGATATATACTCAGGAGTGGAACTGCTAGTTCATGGGGAAGCTCTATGTTTAGTCTTTTGGGGAACCTCATGCTAGTTTCCAGAGTGGTTGAACAAGTTTACAATCCCACCCATAGAATATTAAGGCTCATTTATGATCACGTCCTCACCAGCATCTGATATTGTTTTCTTAATAGCGTATAAATTTATAAATAAATACATTGAGTGGTATGTAAGTATACCCAAATGTATTAACTAAAATATGGTAGATTCAAGGGAGAACTCAAACTATAATTCCTTAGAAAGGCAAAGTCAAAGTTCAACAAAATAGACACCAAGAAAATAGTACTCAAAAGGGGTAAGATGGGGTATGAAGGAGAAGGGTAGACAATGAAGAAAAATGAGGAGAAATACAAGCAAAGAATGCAATGTATATCCTGCAAAATTAAGAAATATGAAGGAAGGGTTGGGTTGGGAGAAATGGGTGAAAATGATGAAAGGGGCGACATTGATCAAAATGCATTATACTCATCCTATTTTGTTAAATGGCAGCTCTTTGTACAACTACTTAAAGATAATTTTAAAAGGAAAGAAGAAGACGAAAAAGGAGGAAGGGGGGGAGGGGAGGGGGAGGGGGTGGGGGAGGGGAATAGGAAGAGGGAGGAAGAGCAAAAACTAATTTTACAAAAAGAAACAGTAAAATAAGTGGAATTTTATAATTCTCAAATGTCTAAGAAAGATGTTGAAAAATAATGAAATAGGACATAAAAACAACAAAGTACAAATAGTTAATAACAAAGTAAAAATAGATAAATAACAAAATACACATAGAAATAACAAAAAACAAAGGGGCTGGGGAGGTGGCTCAGTGGTAGAGCGCTTGCCTTGCATGCATGAGGCCCTGGGTTTGATTCCTCAGCACTACATAAGCAAAAAGAAAAAAAAAGCCAGAAGTGGCGCTGTGGCTCAAGTGGTAGAGCGCTAGCCTTGAGCTGAAGAGCTGAGGGACAGCGCCCAGGCCCAGAGTTCAGGTCCCACGACTGGACCCAGAAAGAAAAAGAAAGAAAGAAAGAACAAAAAAAGAAAGGAGGAGGCAACAATGCTTGATAAGAAATGTACTCATTATCTTGCCCATGTAATTGTAACCCCTCTTTACAGTATTTTCACAATAATAATTTAAAAATAACAAAAAAGCTAACAGATACAGCAGATATAATAGGTGCTGATGGAATTTGATAGTTGGAACTTTGGAATTTCAAAATTTGCCTAGTATCTAGCACGTAGTTTAAATAACATTGGATGAATTATACCTTTATACACTTCTGTTTTTACAGGTATCAATTTGTGTTATTTCTGCATTTGCCTTCAACAGATTTTGTACTCAGCAAGGCCACCATTATGTCATGGGCTTCTTGTCTTCTAATTATAGCTCAGAAAAATTCACAACAAATTATTCTTGAGTGTATCTAATTCCAATAGCATATTATGAAACAATGCCTTTTATTAGGCAATTGAGAAAACTGATGTGAATTCAACAATCACACCCAAACAATAAGGGGAATTAGATCTAGCTTATTTAATTTCTCCTTTTATACATATTATACTTTCATATGATTATAAAATAATATAAAACATTATTTTGTAGTAGGAAATTATGAAAGTAGAGGAACATGCAGAAAAAAATATCCTATTCAACACCTGGGGTATAATTACTGTTAACACTCAATCACTTTTCTATGTGTCTGTTAATTCTGGTTCAAATAATACTTCAGTATTTAACTTTAAGGCTTTGCTTTCATTTATACATTTGAAAAGCACTATAATTAATGTCTTTCTTTATAAATATTTGAGTTTATCTCTAATATCAGAAGATGTTTCTGGAATTTAACTATATGATTAAGGAATACACACACACACACACACACACACACACACAAGCTTTAGATCTATGCCACCAAATTATACTCCTGAAAAGCACAACTTAATAATATATTTCAAATAGTATCTTATATCTGAAAGTGTTTTATAAAGAGAAAATTTTAAAGCTTTTTTTCTCTTGTTAATAATAGGTTCAAGTGAGAATAAAAGCGACCTGATGAAAGTTACTGACTGAGGGAGCGTCCCCTCTGTAGGTAATAGATGTGAATTCAGAAGAGAGAAATGACCCTGTGAAAGTAGTTCCTTAAAAGTAAAGTTGGGGCTGGGAAGGTGGCTTAGCGGTCGAGTGCTTGCCTTGCATGCATGAAACCCTGAGTTGGATTCCTCAGTAGCACATAAACAGAAAAACCCAGAAGTGGCGCTGTGGCTCAAGTGGTAAAGCTCTAGTCTTAAGCAAAAGCTCAGGGACAGTGCCCAGGCTGTGCTAGTCTGACTGGCACAAAACAATTAAAAAGTTAAGTTGAAGACAGGAACACAAGATACTGAAAGATTGCCAGGTGCCGGTGGCTCAAGCCTGTAATCCTAGATATTCAGGAGGCTAAGATCTGAGGATCGCGGTTCAAAGCCAGCCCGGGCAGGAAAAATCCAGGAGTCTCTTACCTCCAATAAAACACTCAGAAAACCGGAAGTGGTGCTATGGCTCAAATGGTAGAGTGTTAGCTTTGAGCGGAAGAGCTGAGGGACAGCGCCCAGGCCACAGAGTTCAAGCCCTACCACGGACCTCCACCCCCACCCCACCTCCCACTCATCGCCAAAAACAGAAAAAGAAAAAAGTAAATAAAAAATATTGAAAGACAACCAACACAAGCGAACACGAGGGAGAATCAGCCAACGTATGTGGGCTTCCAAGTAAAAAAGGCTTATTTCTGGACTATTTGCATTTTTTAAACAAAATATAATAAAAATTTTTCCTTATAAAAGATGTATATGTATGTGGGGAGAGAATGGGAATGGATTTATGAAAACAATATTGAAAAAATTCTGGAATAATTCTAGCAAACAAGAGAGGAATTATTTCACTGGAAATGGGGAAAACTCGCCTGTTAAAAATACTGTAAAATTTCCATCTCAAGGGATTAACAAGGAAAATGTAGATTTTATTTCTTTTATGTTTAGGGGAGCTTAATTATCTAATTATCTTTTTAAATTAAATTGTAGTTTTTTTAAACATTTATTTATTTAAGCATTTTTATTTAAGCATTCTGTTAATTCATATTATTTGTAAGAGATTAAATGCTTAACTATCAGATTCTGTGTTTTGGTAATAAAGATTTCAATGATTCTATGATAGATCTTACCTTAGATAAGCCACAGATGTTGTTTTTGCTGCTTTTATCAATTAAAGCTTTTCATGAGTTAATTTATGTGAAAATGGATATGTCCATAATTTTAATAAATTTATTTTTTTCATATTCACTGAAAAACATGTTCAGGTGCTCAGATTTCAAATGTAATTTCTGAGGTTTACACAAACATCAAAGAATGCCAGGTAGATTTGCCATGGTGGCAGCCATACTGTGTCCATCATGGCTTCACAACATTTCTACCATTATTAGCACAATACAAATATTTTAAAAAGAAGCACAGTAATTATCTGGGGGGAAGGTTAATATGCATGATTAAATAAATTTGGTTGATTAAGATCAATGTGGTTATAAACTAAGGACAAAACACATTATGACATTGCTCTGCTCTTACATTTCAGAAGATACATGGTAAAAATTGAAAACACGTAAAGCATCTGAGCATGGTAAGTTGGCAAGGTTACTACCTTGAATATGCCCATCTCCCAGCTCTCACTCATTACCTTTAAAAAACAGAAGTAAAAGACACAGCCCAGCAATTGCCTCTTTGGAAGTCATGTCTGTACTAACTGAAGGAAAGTTATTATTTCAGAGACGATCTCACTGCAGTTGTTTTTCTTTTTCCTATTTCATCTCTCTGCTATCTATTTTTCATCCATGTAGGTTGCTTCAAACCAATCTTAAACTTGTACATTTCATTTGATTCTTGCTTGGATATATAAATTGTGAAATCATATTTGAATCTTATTCTTTAGACCTAAACCAAAATTCAAATTGTTTACTTAAATTTCTGCAAATTAGACATATTTATGGTATTGCACTGTGAACCAAAAAGTGATAAAGTGGCCAGGTTTTCCTTCTTATAACATCTCTGTTTATCCATAGCATTATTTTATCTTGCTAATTGAAAAATCACTTTATTGAAGTTCAATGCTGAGCAAATGTACAGAAAATTTAAATTAGTTATCCACATCTCATATATACATATCCTGTTTAGATGAAGTAAATGCAATAGTTGTTTAACTAGGAAATTGAGACAATGACAAGGAGAAAGAATTTATTTGCTCTATAGGAATATCATATCCAAATGACATGCGACCTAGCTTGTCAGCTATACTAGGGTCATAGATCTAACACCTCAGTGTCCTCATGAATGTGAAGCTTGTTTCCAGGATGAAATTTAAGTTACATAAAGAGAAAGAAATAGTATGTTTTAGAAAAAATTTAAATTTATTATGGATCTTTTCTTCTCAATCAATGGAAGAGGGATTACAAATGTAACAAAATAGAATTAACATTGTTAGTTCCTTCCTTTCTTTTTTCATTCCTCCTGTCCCTCTCTTCCTTTTCTCTTTTGTCTCTTCTAAATCTGTGTATCAAAATTCTAATATATATAAGTATGTATTGTCCACAGTGACAAGTACAAGGAATATAAAAGTAAGCCATATTTTCAGTCCCTATAGCATCCACAACTTTCTAGCAGAAATGGAAATTTGAACAAAGTTGAATATAAGGTGAATAGAACTGTTATCTAGTAGCTTAACTGTGCTTTGCATGGTACTGTGGACTTTTAAAAGCGTTGTAATCATTTCAATGCACAGATCTGTATCGATAGCACTAGAAAGAATTCTGATCATGAAAAAGAGACAATGCAAAATCAAACTTACCTTTCTTCCTCTACCTGCAAAAAAGATAATACATGTGTTATTTTATGATTATGAAAATACACTAGATATTTAGTTACAATAGTATGTTTCTTGAGTAGCCAGAATTTAACAAATTATCAATCCAACAGGAGGTAGAACTTAAAAGTTGTTTCAGATCAATATTTCTGTGAAAAGCAAAGTAATGTATCCCTTTGGAGACCCAGTTTGGGTGCTGTCCCTGAACTTTTGTGCTCAAGGCTACTGCTCTGCTCTACCACCTTGAGCCACAACTCCACTTCTGGCTTTTTTTCTCTTTTCTTTTCTCCTCTTTTTTTTTTCTTTTTATATATATTTTTTTCTTTTTTTTTTTTTTTTTTTTTTGTCAGTTGTGGGGCTTAAACTCTGGGCTTGGGCACTATCCCTCGGCTCTTCAGCTCAAGGCGAGTGCTCTACCACTTGAGCCACAGCACCACTTCTGGTTTTCTGGTGGTTTATTGGAGATAAGAGTCTCATGGACTTTCCTGCTTGGGCTGACTTTGAACCACAATCCTCAGATCTCTGCCTCCTGAATAGCTAGGAATACAGGTGTGAGCCACCGGCGCCCAGTCTTTTTTTTTCTTTTTGTAGTTTATTGAAGAGGTTCACAGGCATTACTGCTTGGGCTGGCTTTGAACCATGATCCTCAGATTTCAGCCTCCTAAGAAACAGGAATTACAGGAATGAGCCAAATTGCACCTGGCTCATTTTCCCTCTTAATGAGTGCCACTGTTGGAGACCAGCTATTTAGAGGAAACTGTATATTTACTGTATTTTCAGATATTTGCACCAACATTACCAAATTACTTTGTGCAAAAGCACACAGTCTTCTTTGATGACATGCTAAGTAGCTATAACATGTCTTATTTTTAGTTCTTGTGGTCTTTTATCGCGTTGCTGAAAATTGTTAAGTATTTATGAAACACATTGCTACCATTGAATGATAGTCAAGAGAAGACGTAAGATGTAAGTTACTGCTATAAATTTCTATACACATACTATTGAATATTATATTTGTTGTTATTTTCAATGGGATTTTCAACATAATTTCTTCATATTATCTTGATGATGACATTCATCAGTCAGCATTCAGGACTGCTCAAATAATGTAAAGTTTGATATTAAGCTCATGTAAATTGAAATACATAAATATGAGCATGTTTTCATATACACAAGCCTCTCTAGCATAGGTTATCTACTGAAATAAGTAATATCTTTTGCATATATTGTTTAGTTAAAGTATTTTTGTTTCGCTTTATATTTTTTAAATTTTATTTTATTGTAAAGATGCTATACAGAAGGGTTACAGTTACATGAGTAAGACAATGAGCACATTTCTTGTCGAGCATTGTTACCCCTTCCCTTGATGTTCTCCTACTATCCCTTTCCTTTCCCACCCCTTTACTCCCCCCTCCCCCAGAAGTTGTAAAGTTCATTTCCAATATACTGTCTTGTGGGTATCATTGTTGCAATGGGTCATCCTGTGTCCTTGTTTCAGCGTTTAGTTATTCACCTTCCCTTCCCCAAATTAGACAAATGTATATACAAGATGCAGGGTCCCAAAATCTATTTTATTGGCTTACACAGCCAACATTATAAGCAATCTACATTTATAGGACAATATAGTAGAGGGTGCTTTGGCACTAAATTACATTTGAGCTGGGTGCTGCTGGTTCATGCCTGTAATCTTAGCTACTCAGGAGGCTGAAGATCTGCTGGGACCGTGGTTCAAAGCCAGCCTGGGCAGGAAGGTCTGTGAGACTCTTAATCTCCAAGTAACCACCACACAAAGTGGGAGAATGCTAACCTTCAACAGAAAAATTCAGGGACAGCTCCAAGGCCCTGAGTTCAAACTCCATGACTGATAAAAGAAACTTTTCCCTATGGAAAAGTTGGTATAGGAATTTGTTGTCTGCTTCTATGTAATGTTAGATAAAGGAAAAGAGCAAAATCATTAATATCAGAAGTCATTGGAAAAAAATGCTCTGATTACTCTTGGTTTTTGTTTTTGTTTCTGTTTTTGTTTTTTGCTGGTCATGGGGCCTGAACTCTCGCCCTGGGCGCTGTCCCTCAGCTCTTCAGCTCAAGGAAAGCACTCTACCACTTGAACCACAGCGCCACTTCGGGTTCTTTTTGTTTTTTGTTTTTCTTGCTTATGTGGTGCTGAGGAATCGAACCCAGGGCCTCATGCATGCAAGACAAGCACTCTGCCAGTGAGCCACCTTCCCAGTTCCTGATTACTCTTTCAATTGCTGAACGTTGTGAGCAAAATGTCCACAGCTATACAGGTGTCACTGGCTCAGTTCTGAGCTAGCCCTTGGCATTCTTACCAAAATTGTTATTTCCATCTCCACCTGTTCCTGGACATGTGGGGCAGCACTCCCCGCTGAGCCTCACAGGGTTGGCACAGGTGAGCATTTCGAGGCACTCTATCTTGTCACAGAGAATGGCTCCATTGTCACAGACACAGATCTCACAGGGGGAAGGTTTCCATACATCCCTGTTTAAGTACATCTGGCCATACTGTGTGCAGGCTATTTCTTCATCAAATGCATCTAAAAAAAATAGAATGAAAACAAAAGTAGAAGTAAGCATTCTGAAAGCTGGAAAATGCAAAATAATTAAGACAATGAATCATCTCTTTCTAGGCTGAGAAATAAAGAACCTTCTGCACAGACAACCAGAGATTAGTATTTACAACATGATACACAATTCATGATGAAATGATTATAATATTTACATCTTCTCCCTGGAGGAGGAAGAAAAAAGTGATAGAAAACAGGCATGGCATAGTTTTTTAACCAGAGAGTGATTCCTGTAAGATTTATTTGTTTATTTATCTATTTATTGTTGTGCCAGTACTGGGTTGAACACATGGTATGGGTGCTTTTCCTTACTTTTTTTTTCTCAAGGTTGGCATTCTCTCACTTGAGCCACAGTGCCAATTCCAGCTCTTTGCTGGTTAACTGGAGATAACAGTCTTATGGACTTTTCTGCCTTAGCTGGCTTCCAACCATGATTTTCAGATCTCCATCTCCTGGTGGCATCAGCCACCAGTGCCCAACTAAGATTTTATTTTGAAGTTACAACTGATCAAATATATTACTAAAGAAGGATAAAAAAAGAACCCATTTAAAAAGGGAGAGTAAAGAATAGTCCTAAAGAGAATACATAATCTTAGTATTTAGTTAAACTTACATGACCTTCAGTTCATTAAGATTTTAAATTAGTAAATTCTACATCAAAAGGCAGTATGCATTTGTGTATCCTGAAGACAAATTTCAAAGGAAAGATATACAGAATCATTAAAATTATTTAAAAATTTGTTTTAGAAATAAAGTGAAAAAATTCATATAGCCATTAAACTACAGGCACTTAAGAAACTATATCAGAAACAAAACACACACAGGTAATTACTTTGCATAATTTTCTTAGACGTTACAACAAACACAATATCATATTTTATTACATACTACCTGCCAATCACTTTTATTATATTTAGATAAAAGTTTAAGGAAGATTGGGAAAATAGTCACACACATATGTATACACTGTAGTAGCAGTTTAGTTCACATAATATTTAGAATCACGCATTATATCTTTCACTGCAACTTTTATGAGAAACATAATGACAGTACGTCCCAACATGAAGCAGACCACAACAGCCTTGCTTAAATACTTCAAGCACTTCCCAGTTAGATTCAACATTCTTTTTCCGCAAGGCTAAAGGTTTTGTTTTCCAATCCTTCAACCAATTGATCCTGTTTTCTCATTCTTTTCTCTGCTTCTTATCAAGAACTTGTGGCTAGCTCTTGCTGCTTGCACAATTGTCATCTCCCTCCAAGTCATCACTGTCCTACATAAATCATACTTCCTTCACCCAAATGATATGGTCTTAAAGAAGACCCTCACAGTCAGCCATTCATTCATTGCTAGCATGTGTGCTATGTAATGAAACTGAAGAACCAGGCAAAATTCACTAATGTAATTCATGAAATATAAGTAGTATTATCTATTTATTTAATTTTTTTAGTTTTCTTATCTCCTCTATGAGTCAACAAACTTTACAAGGTTAAGGACAAGATATAGTTTTGCTTAATATTGCATTTCTGGTGTTTAATCCTCCATAGAACCTCCATTTAATAATTAGTTGTTGAATAAACAAGAAGATGGGAAGGAAAGAATAAAGGAAGGTAGTTAATGCATAGCATTAACTTTAGAATAAACCTAAATTATGGTTCACTAACTTAATTGCATAGCATTAACTTTATATTTCATAAAATATAATATTTTAAAGTATATTTATAATCTTAGAAGAATAATTTGACATATATGTATAATCAAATGATAATGTAGAACTATAGATAACTGTGATTCCAGTTTAACTCAAGAATAAACATATAATTTTTATTTATGAATTATATTAGAATAAAGCTAAAAAACACTTTCAAACTGCCTTCTCTCTTAATGTACTTCATATATTTGGTCTTTAATCACAGAAATTTGGTAATTTGAAATTTTCTCTCAAACACTACATCCATTTGATCTACATACTAATTTATAAGGAGAACATTAAGTTTGCTACCTGTTTTTTTCAGAACAAAAGGCTTTAACTATGCAGTAAATAGCTAGTCAAAATCATTGGCTTTCTGTATCAAGTGCTACTATCCATAAGAGAAAAATGATTTATGTTTTCATATGGTTTTCGGTAAGGATATTCTGAAAACACAATCTGATATTTTGACATCAAATAAGTAGTGTGAGATTGAATGACATTTAATTAGATTAAAACAATGTAGTTCTGTGATGAAAATATCCTAAGTCATTTAAAATAAGCGTATTTAATAATAAAAATTTCTCAATCATGGTCTTTGCAACCATGGTCCTTTGAACCATTATATTAAGAAGCTAAATTAAATATAACGTAGTTCATTAAGTTTTGCAATTAAGAAGGTAATTTTTTCTAAAAATTAGATATACCAGCTCAGTTTGCTCTGTTTCTCTACATGGGCAGTAGCAGCTAAGGGAGAGGTTACTGTTAAAAGAAAATATTTATGGGTGGTTAAACGAGTATGAACTTGGCTCTGTGTAAAATCTTGAAAGCATATATACTCTGTCCTTCAAAATGTATATTTTCAGAAGTGGCGCTGTGGTTCAAGTGGTAGAGCACAATACCCAGGCCCAGAGTTCAAGCCCTACGACTGACCAAACAAAAAAAAAAAGAAACACAATGTATATTTTCATCATGGAGTACCATATAGATGGTATGTTTCATATACATGATATTTATTTATATAATAAAATAATCAATTATATGCAGAATGTATTTTACATTAGACAATATGTAATTTTCTAATGTATAATTCTATTATAATATGAAGTTCAATAGTAAAATATATTACCATTTATGTTATATTTTATGCAAATATGTATATTTCTTACAAAAATAGATATTAGGCAGCCGGGCTTCAGTGGCTCACACCTGTAATCCTAGCTACTCAGGAGGCTGAGGTCAGAGGATCATGGTTCAAAGCCAGCCCAGGCAGGAGAGTCCGTGAGACTCTCATGTCCAATAAACCACTAGAAAACCGGAAGTGGCGCTGTGGCTCAAGCGGTAGAGCGCTCGCCTTGAGCTGGAGAGCTGAGGGACAGCGCCCAAGCCCAGAGTCAGAGTTCAAGCCCCACGACCAACCAAAAAAAAAAAAAAAAAAAAAGGTATTAGGCAGTAGAAAGATAACATGAAAGACAAAAACAAGATGGCATGTGGTAAAGCTGTAATCTTAATGTCCTTAAATTGTGGGAGAAACACCTCAGAAGGTAACTTGCTCTTGTTACTGTAGTTTCTTCCAGCTTGGGGTGGGGAGGGGAAATCGCACTCCTGGTCCTCTATTAATACATTAAAAAGTACACTTTCTTCCTGAGAGTTTAAGACTCGTGACTTAAATGCAAGGGGCATAAAAGCGGGTCAGTGTATTACTTTCTTTAAATGACAATGTTGAAGGCTAGTTTTATCCTCTGATTCATCACTGGTCTCTTTCCCCTGAAAACATATAATTAAATTTAAAATGATATGGAAATGGAATTGGAGTGCTTTTAAATGGCAAAGAGACAGTCCATCATGCCTTCCCTTCACCAGTACAGCATCCACTCACATCATGGAGGGTACAAACACTCAGTGATGGTCTCTAGAGTCATGTCTCAACAAAAGCTGTGTACACAGAAATAGAGAGTAGAAAACATGGTGTGTCTTGCAAGCTTCTTGTTTCTGCATGGTGGTTTTGCATCTTATAATCATATTGCCCTTTCTGTTTCTTACAGAGACACCGAGTCAAAAGAAAAGTATAAACAACATTGTAGCCAATTTATTGAAAAAAACCGCAGTAAAATTATCAAGAAAAATTTATTTTATCAAGACAATAAAATAAGAATGTAAGAATTTTTCAAATGACCTCATAAAAATTTCAATGTTTATCCTTCTGGCTCTCCCAATTAAATCATAAAAATTAATATAAGCTGATATCTAAAGCTTAGGTTTATTTCTGCATGTATTAACATTGTGTTTTAAGGGATTTGTTTAAACAAATATTTTTGCACTATCTGAACAAAGAGCTCTAAAACCATTATACTGAGCTACTCACATTTTCTTTTCTTCTCTTTTAAATTTGCTACTAGTGTTTCTTTATCTTCCCTAAAGTTTAAGAGAGCTGGTAGAACTAACAATATTTTTCACTCTTGAACTTGTGTGATGTTGTAATTTGCCTAATTTTTGTCTGTCAAGCTACAAAATTCTTTGCTCTTTACCAAATGTTCCAACAAATTGAATCCAGTATGAAGTCATCCCCACAAAAGTCCTGGCACTGATAACTTAGGAAGAGGAGACATATTTTGTCTGACCACATTTTACTTGAAATCAGCTCTAATGTCCTGTACTTCTCATATGCTTTCATGTCTTCTCATAAATCTTCTGTTTTTAAGTTTAATAGTCAAAATTCAGTTTGTACTCACTAGATGGCAGACCAAACCAACCACTTTATTATAATAAATTATTGGAAACCAAGTTCTTAGAACTACTGCTTGCCAACTGTGGGCCACACCCTGCATTTCCATTTGTTCATACACAGCTTTTATACATGGGCAAAGAAGTCTGAATAGAAATGGCCAAACTGAAACCAACTGACTGACCCAGAGATAGTTGGCTCTACATTAACTAACTGGAGGGCTTATTGTTGTTGTTGGTTTGTTTTGTTTTGTTTTGTCGGTCATGGGGCTTGAACTCTGGGCCTGAGTGCTGTCCCTCAGCTCCTCAACTCAAGTCGTAACCCACAGAACCACTTCCAGTTTTCTAGTTTTTTATTGGAGATAAGAGTCTTCCAGACTTTCCTGCCAGGCTGGCTTTGAACCAAGATCCTCAGATCTCAGCCTCCTGAGTAGCTAGGATTACAGGCGTGAGCCACCAGTACCTGGCCAACTGGAGTTATTTTTGTTGTAGAAAACTAAGGTAATATGCACACATATATGTGTATGACAAAATTATGCATTCTTATTGAATTGTGAT